GAGCCTACACTCCCAGCCAAGAGCTTTGGAAGGATGTGCTGAGTAGACACACACGTCCCCCTACCTCCCCCCCAACGACCCAGGATGCCCCGGGGTGGTGGCAGAAGGCAGGCAGAGGGGAAGCAAGGATGTGTCAGTGCTGGGGTTCCTGGTTAAAGTAGATTCTGGCCCTTCCTTCCCAGCTGAGCCTGGTCAGGGGCCTCAGGAAAGACCCCTAGCAGTTCTGGGACATCTGAGACTGAGAGAAGCCATTCCTCTCTCCCGGGGCAGAACCCTGCGGAAGTGACTGAGACCCCAGGGAAGAAATGGTCTGATGGTACATCCCAGCAGATGGGGCCAGACTTAGCCAGCCCTCGGAGGGATACAGAATTTGTGAGACAAGCATGTATGCAGAGAGGAACCGGACATCCCAAGAGGGGTGAGGACCCAGGAGGCTCTGCAGGAATGCGGGTGGTTCAACAGGTATGTGGGCACAACCAGGAGCCCAGAGCAGGGGGGATACTGACCCTGTGCTGTGGCCGTGCCATGCCAGGTGACCCCTCCCACTGCCAGGATGGGGCACCTGGATGCAACCCCCTGGGAAATGTGGTGGGGGAGGAACCCCAACTGGCCAAAATCACATCTCTTCGACGTCAGCAGGAGAGAAATTAAGTTTAGTCGTGCAAAAATAAAGGAATTTCTATTTTGCGTACATCTGAGTTTGCAGCATCAGCTCGTCCCCCGCAGTGATGAAGGTCAGTCATCGAGCAACCCTCTACCCTGCTGCTGCTCCGCAGAGGGTGCACTGTTTCCTCTGTGTGCCCCTCACCAATTACTATTTCCTCCAGCCCACGCCACCACCTCCAGGTGCCCTCACACCTCATCCTGACCCTGCGCTACAACCCCTAGCCTGGTTCCTGGCCACGCCAGCCTCCCAGCCTCCTGGGTTTGCAGATCAGCTGCTCTCAGCCACGCCGGCTTAGCCCGGCGCACTCTTGACTCATGTCATGGAAATCCCTCCTTCCTTTCTGGCTCCCGCTGCTGCCGGCTGGCCCTAGCTCTCCCTGGCTCGGCCCCACCCATAATGTTCTCGACATCTGTTTCTGGTCATGTTGAGTTTCTGCCCGTGCTTTTCCCTTCCTCCAGATGTACACGTGGCACTACGTGGCTACTGGGACAGGCCCGCGGAGCTGGCAGGAGCAGGAGGGAGCAGGAGGGAGCGGGTTGCATGATGACACACCAGCCACTGCTAATGCACCGAACATCATCACATTCGGTCCTCATTAGGGACAGGAAAGGGGCTGCCCCCACCCCCCGGCGTGGGGAGGTGGCAAGGGCATTTCGCCAGCTCGCTGGGGTCGCCGGGATGAAGCACTGCACATCTCTCGAGGATGTCATCCCCGTGGACCTCGCATGGGCCTGGCGGGGCTCCAGTTTTCCAGGGCCCTTGCCCAACCCCCACCTAAAACTTACCTGTGGGGAGACTGTCCACAACAAAGATCTAGTGGCTCTTACCCCCCATGGATGATAAGCCAGGGACTGGGACCTCGTGGGAACAACTGGCCTGGACAGACCAGAGGGCGCCTTTGAAGCATGAACAGAAGTATTTGCAAGTCAGATGAGACGACCCAGAGGCTGCCGGTCTTGGACCACTGAACTAACCGCCTGGAAACGTCTGGGGCCTTTGGCCTCAGTTTGTAAAGGACAAACTTCAGTCATTCTACAGGGGCTTGACAAGAAGTGTCCAAAGCCTGTCTGCCTCAGTAATCTGCAAACCTAGTCCTCGTGCTGTCTGGGACCAAAAGCTGCCTGGCACTGGGGATAACCTTTGCCACCAGGGTTGGAGCAGGGCTGCTGTTTAGGCCAGTGAGGCTTCAACAGCAACGTGGACCACAAGCATGCCATGAGATGGCTCCCTGAGCAGCCTCTGATCTCTTAGAGCCTCTTGGGTGAGAGCTGCAAGGCTTCAGCTGTGGTGGGAAGTCTCCCTCAGGGGCCAGAGGGAGCCCAAGGAAACTGAGACTTGTGTCTCCCCCTGCCTGGGCTGCAGGTCCAGGTGAATCCTGGGGCAGTTCTAGTGGGTCTGTCTTTACAGCATCCTTTTCCATGTGGTACCCAGCGAGCCAGCAAACACAGCCACAGGCAGTGCAGGAGGCACCCAGCCCAGCAAGCCGGGAAGGGGAATGAACGCAGATCCTTTTAAGTATCTGTAGGTGAGTAGCTACCTTGCTAGCTTACAAAGTCAGAACCTGCCAAGTCTGCCTACTGGAGGTGAGAAGCAATTTCCTCCAGACAATGCCCAGTAGTTACCTGGTAAATACTACACACAAAACGTGAGATCAGAGCCCAGACTGAGGGGCTGTGGTTATTCAGCACATCCAAGGGCCTCGCTGGAGCATAAACTCCATGGGTGTTCTCCATGGCAAGGTAATGGATATGCCTCTCATTACAGCCTCTGAGCCTAGTGGGGTGGTACACAGTAGATGCTCAAAAGGTGCAGTTCAAAGGATGAACACAGCACACCAGGCAACCTTTCCTCTAACCCTCATGGCTACTCCGTAAGCTAGATTATCATCATTCCCATTTTACCGACAAGGAAACTGAGACTCAGAGATGCAGGGGCTTTTCCTGAGGCCACAGCCAGGGCTTGGCACAGCAGACTCTGACTGGCTCCACTACCTCCAAGGCACACTCCTGAGTGAGTGACCGAGGGAGCTGGTCTCTTTGTGGGTGGGGAGCACACAGAATGGAGCCCTGGGCTCAGGCCCCAGCAGAACCTGGACCGGCTGCTCTCCCACGGTGGGCAAAGAAAACCCAGCAGAAAGAACCAGCCTGAACTGCTAAGAAGACACACATTTAATCACGCTGGACAAGCAGGGCAGGGGCAAACTGGGCTGCGGGCGGCCGTATAGCACCAGCCTCCACGGCACTGGGTCAGGCCCCACCGCCATCGCCCAGCCACGTGGCCACGGCTCCCTTGGCTCTAAGTAAGCATCAGAGACCATCACCCGGGCCAGCTGTGCCCCGGAGTCTGCACAAGCACCAATGGGTCGAGGCCATCTCCCTCTGCGGAGAGGTTCAGGCCACCTGGGGTTGGGGGAGAGAAAGGCTGGGGGCCGTCAGGCTGTCCTCCCTGAGAGGGGGAGGGGACAGAAGCCCTGATGTCCCTCATTCTGCCTCAGCCTCTCCCAGCACCTACCTCCCTTGGCATCATGGCTCAGAGGAGAAGCCCCCTGACTGACCCAGAACATGGCTCGCTTTGGTTCCCCAGACCTGCTGAGGGGTCCAAAGCCCGGGGCCTCCCATCCTGGCTCATTGCCCGGCAGTGTCTGTCACAACAGCAGAGGCCAGAGGAGGTTCTGCTGGGCAGGAGCTGCCCACCAGGGCCTCAGCACCTTAACAGAGCCTGGAGAGCCGGGGGCACCGGGCTGGCGAGAGGGGCCACGGAGGTCAGAGCACCTGGGGACAGACGTCAGTGTCTGACACTGGCCGGGAGCCTGGGAGAACTGAGGCCCAGGCAACCCTGGCAGGGTGGGCTGAGCACTGCCCCGATGGCGTCCAGGGAGCGGGGCAGGGAGGGCACGTGCTGAGGAGGGTAGGAGCCAGGTGGGGAGAAACGGGTCCAGGCTCCCTTCTCCAGGGGCCCCCTACCTCAAAATGCCCCCAAGCCCCTGGGTCCTCTCCTCACAACACCCTTGCCCTGACTGAGGCCCCTCTGGGTTTGCTTTAATACAAGCATTGGGCAGAAAAACAAGGAGGAATGGGCAGGGGGTACCACACCCCAACTCAGGTGCCCTATGCCACCAGCCTTGGGGACTGGTGGGTAACGAGCGGCCACAGTGCCTGAGAGCCCAGAATGCAGACTTCTGTGATCAGAGCCCCACGTGTTTCCTTGGGTCTGGTTTCAGAATCCTCTGTGCATCCCCACCCTGGCTGGACTGGGTGCCCACCGACGGCAGGGCCTGTGACTGATCCACCTCAGCCTTCCCGGAACCTGGCACAGAGTGAGGGCTCAGTGAGTGTCTGACGACTGAATAAATGAACCATGACTACACAAGTAAGGGTGCAGACGGGAGTGAGACGAGAAGGGGGAAGGGGCAAGAGACCAGAGGAGGGGGTGTCCTAGAGGGATGAGAGAATTTCAGGATGTTTGGAAGATTCCAGAATGTTCAGAAAGTACTAGAATGTTGTGAAAGTTATAGGACTTGATTACTGAGTGGTGTCCAGTGACCAGCAGCATCAGCATCACCCCGGAAATTAGAAATGCAGAACCCTGGGCCCACTGCATGCTTGCTGAGTCAGAACCTGCATTTTAGCACAGTCCCTGGGTGATGCATACTCACATTCGAGTTTGAGAGGTGCTGGTCTAAAGGGTTGGGAAAGTTCTAGAAGAATTAGGTTAGGAGGTTTCTTAAAAGTCATCCAAGAGAGGAGAGAGGCAGAAACAGCCTGAGAGGGGTGATGGAGGGAAGGAAAGAAGAGGAAGGCTGCCCAGAATGTCAGGTCCTGCGGCCCACTTTACAGATGTGCAAACTGAGGCCCTGCAGGGGACAGACCTGCCCGCAGCCACCCCCAGCCCGAGCTGCCCCGCCGGAGGCACTAATCGTCCTCGGGCTTGATGAGGTGGCCGCTGAAGGTGATGTAGGTGTCAATGTCGTCGCTGTAGACGGCGTTCTCACGCTCGCGCTTGAAGAGCCGCGCCCAGACGCGGTCGCCAGGCGCCAGGGCCAGCATCACGCTCTGGCTCTGCATGATGCTGCGGTCGCTGGGCTGTGCGTACAAGATGACGGCTGCCTCCTCGTTGTGCACGACATGCACGTAGGTCTCCTTGAAGTTCCAGCTGTGCACATTGAGGCTGAAGAAGTAGAGGCCACGCAGGGGGGCGATGAAGTGGCCAGCAGCCAGGTCGAAGTGCCCGTCCGGGTTCACGAAGACCGTGTCGAAGAGCAGCGGCTGGAAGCCCTCACTGCTGTGCAGCGCCGTCTTGCGGCCCACTGAGAAGGCCGAGAAGCGCCTCTGGCATGGGCCGCCGGGGCTGCCCGCCTGCC